CCCCCCCCCCACCACATCCGCCCCCATCTGCCCCCACGGTGCTGTCCACGGAGACTTGGCCGGACCATGGGGAAGGGGCAGCTGCTGCCCCGCTGGGGAGGTGGCTTAGTGGGGCTGACCCCTCAATGCAGCTGGGACCCTCCCCCCAGTGATCGCCACGTGGGCAGGAGCTCCCAACACGTATCTATCCAGAGGTGCTGGGGCCACGGGGTGGCTCCGGACCCAACGCTGGAGGCACGGCCCCTCTGGCCTCTGCCCTGGGACCCTGCCCCCCAACCAGCCCTGCCCCCCCAGCCCTGCCCCCCCAGCCCATCCTGCAGTTACCTTCCAGGCGCAGCTCCACCTGCCGACTCTCCCGGCTCGGGGAGTGGATGACCATGCAGGTGTAGAGCCCGGCATCGGCGCCCCCGACCCGCGGGAGGAGCAGGGAGGCGTTGCCGACCCGCAGTCCCTCCAGGGACAGGCTGGCCCCGGCCCTGTGGTACGACAGGGTGCTATCGAACTCGGCCACCAGGCGGCCCCCCAGGTTCCACTGCACCACCAGCGCCTCCATGTCCACGGTGCCCCCCACGGAGAAGTGACAGCCCAGGAGCAGGTCGGAGCCCGGCTGGGCCCGCACCGGGGAGACGGGGACAGAGACCTCCAGGGCACCCCCTGCACAGACAGACAGACAGACGGACGGGATTACTCGCCGCTCTGCGGGGCATGGGGGCAGGGGTGGGGCAGCCCGGGGGGAGACTCTACCCCCCCCAGGGACTGAGCCCCCTCCAGCCCCCACCCACCCTGTGCCCCCCAGCCTGAGCCTCCTGCCCCAGCCCCCCACCTGCCCCAGCTCCATGGGAGCCCACATCCTCTCTGCAAGGGCCAGTCAGTCCTGGGGGGGGGGAAAGGGGGCTCCAGGCTGAGGCCTGGCAGCCTCGTGTCCCACGTGGGCCGGGCGCTGGGTTCCCGCGGGGGCAGGCGGCGCCGAGCCTCAGGCAGAGGAAGCGACGCGCTTCCTGTTTGCGCAGCTTGTGGTGTGGCCGTTACATGGTTCCCCGGCACCACCCCGGTCACTGTCCCACCCCCCTACCCGCCCTGTGCCCCCCGCCTAAGCCCCTGGCCCCAGCCCCCCACCTGTCCCCTCTGTACCCACAGCCTGAGTCTCCTACTTCAAGCTCCCCTCAGGGGCCACCCTCCCCGCAGCTGCTCCCATGCTGGGATGGGGAGCAGGACCCCTGCCCTGTGATTGACCCCCACGTCAGCGCCACACCCAACCCCCACCCCAAAGCCAACACCACCTACCCGACCTGCCTTCCTACTAATCGGGCAACTCTCCGGGCTGACTTGGTCGGGGCTCCGTGCACCCCCCAGCAGCGTTAACCAATTCGGTGGCCATGACACCCCCCTTGCCAGCCCCACAGTGGTCGCCCCAGGGCCCTGGCGTCAGCTCTGAGCTGGACCCTGTGGGGGGGGGTGGTGAGATTTAGCCCCAGAACCCCAGGGCAGGTTGCGGGTGATGGGTGCGAGGGGGTTGGGGGGCAGGAGCGGCCCAGAGGAAGCGCGACCTGGGTTTGTAGTGGGGCCTGGCCATGGGGTGTGTCAGTGTGGGAGAGAACCCAGGAGTCCTGGCTCCCAATCCCCCGCCCCTCCAACCCACAAGCCCCCCACTGCCCTCCCAGAGCCGGGGAGAGAACCCAGGAGTCCTGGCTCCCAGCCCCCCCTGCTCTAACCCACCAGCCCCCACTCCCCTCCCAGAGCCAGAGAGAGAACCCAGGAGCCCTGGCTCCCAGCCCCCCTGCTCTAACCACT